GTAATAGGTCTTTGATTTTCCTTGACGGAAATAAAAAAAGCCATTTTTTTTTATTATATATATATATATGTGGCTTTTTGTGATAATACACGGATACTACATAGTTAATATCTAGTATAAAGTACAGATAACAAAAATGATAATTAACTGTTATTATAGTAAATAAAGTTTAACCCAATGCTAAGATTGGTGTTGTTTTTTTTTTTTTTGCCTTGACGCATCATACAATACGCGAGTGCAGTATTTTTTTTTTTTTTTTTTTCTCATTTTTTTCCTCTTTTTTTTTTTTTTAGAAATGTTTTGTTACAAGTAATCCTATCCGATACATGTTTACACATAAATGTTTGTCAAATTTATATATTCAACTTTACAACTAATCTATTAAATGGATTCCATCCAATCAATCTCTCGTATATATAATGGCTGTTGGTTGAAATTCACTAATATTAATGTTAGTATTATTGTGTAGGTTGTTGCTGTTGTTGCTGTTGCTGAGGTTGTTGAGGTTGTTGTCTTTGCTGTTGCTGTTGTTGTCTAGCATGAAATACTATATCCTGAGGCTGCATGCCTAAATAGTTTTAAAATGATAATTCGAATTAATTTACTATTTTCATAGTATTAATAGTCAACTAACAAAAAACTCACCTGGATTAGCAACTTGTGCAGTCTGTAAAAGAGACGATAGTTGCATCCTACGGCGAAGAGCTGCCATATCTGTTGCCGATAGTTGTTGTAGCATTGCCGGATTAATTTGTCTTTGAAGTATATGATGTTGCAAATTTTGTTGTTGCAACATCTGTAACGCTTGTTGCTGTTGTAATTGTTGTAATGTTGGTGTCTGCATCATTTGCTGTGTAGCCTGAATTGGTTGCTGTTGCTGCTGCTGTTGTTGCTGTTGTTGCTGTTGTTGCTGCTGCTGGCGCATTAACATATGTTGTATCATTTGCAATTGCTGAGCATGTTGGGCAGATTGGGTTGTTTGTTGTGGCTGTGCTTGTGGCTGTGGTTGCGCTTGTTGTGGCTGAGAAGCAACAGTAACGCTTGTTGGTAATGGTGAATCTAAGAAAAGCAAACCAACAAGTTTTAACCCTGTTGCAATCACCCCTGTTGTAAAAAGAACTATCCCTCCGTTTGGATTAGGCGCATTAGAAAAACGTACAAAGGCAGCCTGATGTAATGAATTTTCGTCTCGTTATTCATTTAATTTAAAATTATATTAACGTCAAACGATGGTGCATACCAATTTTTTACTATCCAAAATACGCATTAATACCATAAATGTGTTTTGATTATCTTGAGATGCTTGTGGAGTTGGAGTTGGTAGAAATGAAACAACATGAGGTTTTGGATTTTGTACAGCTGCAACATCTCTCATAAAGTCTTTAGCAAGATTTATGCTGGAAATTTCCATTTTATCAGGCCAAGTTGGTATCATGCTAATATAAATTTTTATTCGACAAATCATAAATAAATATTAATTTTATATTTATTTATTTATTTAAAAAAGGAAACATTATTAAATGTCTTACTAATCATTCATAGGATAAGGACCAGTTTTTCGTTGATTTCCTGGGAAAGCAGTCACATGACAAGTAAGCTCGCGTTTTAATCCGGTCTGTTGACTGTTGGCCGACCATGCAATATGACCGCTCCATAATGCGTTTACTGTCTTCGGAGGAATATTAGGGCGAACTTGATTAACATTGGATCCTATTGGCACAGAAGGTTGCCCTATATTAGCGACTGATACCTGGACACCATTGTTGTTAGGAGGGGCATTAGTAACAATAGAACTAGTATTTGTCGATGCAATAGTTTTAGGAATTTGGACCCCAAGCGCTGAAGCTACGGATGTACCACTTTGAGTCGATGTTGGTATGTTAATATTCGGTGCAGAGAAACTAGTATCTGCGATTGTAGATGTATCAAGTGCGTTATTAGTTTGTGGTCAAGAGAACAGTAATTAATTAATTATAAACATACTTAAATTTTGTGCATTTAAGGCTCCTCCTACTGTAGGCGATGTCACAAAACCATTTATAGATTGTGCTTCAGAACCATGTGGTGAAGCTGATGTTACAAAATTATTCATAGGTTGTGAGCCAACGGTCACACGGGAAGCAGCGTTCTGTGGATTATTTTGAGCCAATTGGGTTATCTGACGTCTCACTAAAGCATCAGCAAGGTTTTGTTGACTTGCAGCCAATTCATTCTGCAAAAATTTATTTTGCTGCCTAAGAATTTGTGTATTATTTGCTACTTGCGTTCTAAATAGTTGTCCACCCTGACGTAAAGCTTGCGTATTATTAGCAGCTGCAGTTTGTGCCATTGCTAAGAATTGGCTACGTTGTTCTGGAGACATCGCATTCCACTGAAGCTGAAATTGAGCTTTCATAGCAGCTGCTGGGGGAATTCTCATTCCCATGGGCATCTGAGGTCGCATGGGTTGAGTACCTGAAATTGATACAGGTTGCTGTATAGGTGCGGTACCTATAGGAGGAGGTTGTTGAATTTGTATTGGAGTCGTTGATTGTACGGGCTGTTGTGGTGTTTTTACGGATACTTGAGCATGTCCGAGTGGATCTTGCTGAAGTGACTGAGTGTTATTTACAGGAGAAACTCTTGGAATTGTAACATTAGCCACTTGAGGAGGTTTAGAAGATGGTGGTTGTATAGGTTTAGTAATGGTAGTTGATTCTTTTTGATCTGGTGAGGTTTCTGCTGGTAGTGATTGTTGAACTGTCAAATTAGACATTTCTCTTAATTGTTCTTCCGGTTCGATCTTGACTCTCTTACTTTCAGGCGATGAGCTGGTAAAAGTCATCGATGTTATCTGGTCAATGTTGCTTATGTCATTTGATGTTGAAGTTTCACACTTCCTTTTTTTGTCAGAAGTTACTAGATTTCGACAACGCATTTAATTAATCATTGGCTTGACAATCAGAAGAAATCGCGATACACTGACTTTAAAAAAAAAATAATAATAATAATCCATGATTCACCTTCAGTTGGTTGTGAGAATGTAAGTTTGATATTAGCCAACTTCACGACATGTGAAGGCATTATGACATCAGTAGCGTTGTGAACTTCTATATCTTTATTGACCTACAATATTATAATTAAATATGTTTAAAAAAAAATACAAATGGACGAATAAAAGAAACCTTTAACTATATATTGACATTACCATCTCAACAAGTTCTTCTAATTTCGTGAAATCCCTTTCCGGAGTTATTAGAGAGAGGTAAATGGATTGCTAATGTAATAATAATTATTATTATTTAGACAAAAATTATAAGATGGACAGTCATTTTATATTGATTTATATTATACATACCTTTTGCATCTCTTCTACTATTTGCTCAATAGTATATTCATCGTACTTACTACTTATATTACGATGAACAGGATCAGGACAAGGATGGCTATTTGATATAAGAATACAATGTCTTTTCGGTGGTGGTGCATCGGGTTCCATTTGTGATTTATGTAAGTCAAACATCTTGAAAAATAAAAATAAAAAATCTTAGAATATCAAGTGATATACAAACAAAATTTAAATAGTTAGTTACCTCAAGAGCCGCGACTAAACCTTCAGCTACAGCATTTTCATATATTCCTCCATTTAAAAACTCTATTTCAGTTATTAGCTCATCGAACCGTGTATAACTTTCAAAATAATGAGATTTTACAGGTATAGTAGAATATGGTTCATAATGTCCGAAAGTAACAAGACCACATTTCAAAACGGGCTATATTTCAATATTTTAAATGATATCATGAGATCCTAGTTTTCTTAGTTTGACTATTTAATATATATTGTGTTATAAACTCACCACTTTTTCTTTCTTTTCCTTATCTTCCTGTTCCCTTACGTATGAAGTTTTTAAGTGTCTATATTTATGTAAAAATATTAAAAAAAATTTTTTTTAATCTAAGCAATAAGTTTATTACGAATAAGTTAGATCCTACGCCTCGCAATTCTTCAAATTTTTAAAGTAAATGCAGAAACTGAAAACCTTTAACAGTCTTTAAACACTGTTCCGATGATACATAACCGAAGTTATATATTTTATCCTTACTTTAGTATCGGCCTCAAATAAGTTCCAAAAATAATATCGGAATGGTCTTCTAATCGATATGTTGCATCTAAAACAACTACAACCAGACACTCTGGTGGTATAGTACTTTTACCTTTCTGCGTCATAGGAGTATATAGGCGCGCGAATAGTGCTTAAAAAATATCTGATAACGATAGACTTCGGCGTAACGAAAAAAAAAAAAAAAAAAAAAGGGAAAAAAAAAAAACAAAAAATGTACTATGAATTGAGATAAAGCCGCACACAGGTTGTGCTATTTTATATTCAACTGAAAAAACCTGAATGCACTGCGCTCTGGTAAACTAATAGAACTTCCAAATAAAATGTAGAATGGAAGGTTGTGTACTACATAACGTTTACAATTTTATTGTGCACAAGTTGCAATGCGATATTCGTATACAACTTCCTTATTTGCCATTTTGAACAATGCTCTTTATTTTTTTTTAACCCATAAAATCCGATGATATTATATCACGAGTTAACCTTTGTCACGAGAAAGACCCTATCGTTATACAGTAGTACATAAGTATGCTTAATTCTAACTTTAGCTATAAAATCTATTCTAAATATAAATTGTTATAAGTGCGTAGCCTTCTTAATACAACACAAGTAGCATAAGATATAGCAAGCAGTGTTTAAGTAGAATATTACTTTATTGAGATGATTTGTTATAATAAGACAAAAATAGATATTTCTTATTTATAATATATTATAAAACAAATTTTTGTTTAAATTATATTATATTATTATTATTATTAGGTAGTTGTTATATATATTTTTAAATTTGTTCAAGATATATTGATATTTATTTAAAGCTATACAAATTTAATTACTTGGTTTTTATAACATGAAATTTTAAATTAAACCTAGCTAGCTAGTTTTTTTTAAAAAATTATTATTATTATTATTATTATTATTATTATTATTATTATTATTATTATTATTAAGGTAGCTTCTTTTGCTAATTAGATTTTATTAATTTATTATATATATAGCTTCTATAATACATAGGACTTTTTCTGTAGATCATTTTTACTAAAATCATAGTTAAAGAAAAACTTAGAATTTCTCATAAGAAACTATATTTGAAATGTTAAATAAAAAGAAAGAAGTCAAAGAAATACATATTTAGTATTAGAACAGTAAAGAAAACAAATACTCATAGCAAAAGCAACTGAAGATACTAGCTTAAAAGCTATAACAAAAAATTTTTTTTCTGAAAACTAATTCATTTTGAGCTACAGATCAATTTATATAATACAAATATATAAAAATTAATATAAATAATTAATCATATTATTAGTATTAATAAAATGTATTATATATAAGCTAATAGAGCAGAACTATCAAAGGTTATAGCTAGAAAGTTTACAAGCAAGCAGGAAAAGATACTGAGAATTTATAAAAAAAGGCAAGATCACTTTTTTGAATATTATAAATTGAAATAAGAAATAAAATAATATACAAAGATAGTACTTAAGAAGACTATAATTCAGAATCAACAAAGGAGAAACAGAAGTTAAAGCTAAAGAAAATAGCTAGTCTCAAAGCTATGCTCAAAGAAGAAGAACTTCAAAAACTAACAAAAATCATAGAAAGAATAAATAAAAACTATAAGTATTTAAATAAACATGTTTTAAGAATTACAGATATAAATTTCAAAATAATTTCAATAACTAGAAGCTAGCATAAAATTATCAAGAGAATAATCATTGAAGAAGAAAGAGAAATTTTAAATATAGCAATTGAAGAACTTAAATATGAATTAGTACTTTTAAAAGAGAAAAAGAAAAGTAAAACTGAAAGTAAATTTAAAGAAAAGTCTAATTCAACAATAAAAGAAGTAATAAGTGAGAAGATGAAAAAAGAGAGTTCTGAAAGATTACAGAAAGTAGAGTAAAACTAGAAGAAAATTCTCTATCATCACAAGAAATAAAAAAAGCAAATAAAGAAAATACTAACTCAAAATTGATTTTAGAACAAAAGCTAGAATATTTAAATAGAAAACTAGCAGATAGAAATAAGATAGCTACTGAAATTTATTAAGAGATAAAACAAGAGCAAAAGTTAAAAATCCTAAGTCTGAAGTAAATTTGAATATATTAAGAAAAGAAGTATAATAAGATACTCAAGAGACAGAAGTAGCTTTCAATAAGAAAATTAAAAATTTAGCTCTTTAAACAAAAGATATAATTTTAGAAGATATAGATAATACTCTTCTAAAGATATTGTAAATAGAAATAAATAATACAA